AAAGTGACAGGGGGTCACAGTGGAGACTTGGGCACAGCAGTTGGCTCTCTGGGCTGAGTCAGATGCCGAGGAGAGCTGCCAGGAAGCTTGAACTTGAGGGGTTCCAAAGAGGGCCACCTTCTAAGCTCAGGCAGCCGGAGTGGGGAGAGATTAGGGGCATGGAGTGGGGTGACATGGGCAGCTCTGTGGTTCAGATTGGGTTTGGGGGGGCACTGATGTGTCCCACCATGTCTGGCACACAGTAGGTGCTCAATAAATGTTTGTGGACATTTATTTAGTGAAGTTCCTGAATGAACATGCCAGGTCCTGTGAAAGTGTTTGGCATATAGTGGAGAATATGGCAGGCAGAGACCGTGCCCTTACAAAAGTCACAGGCTAGGGGTGAGGTGTCTCCAGCAAGACAGGAGGGCAGTCCATCCCTGTGTCCCTGTCTCCGCAGTGGAGCGGGCGGACAGCCCGGCCGGAGACCCCTGCCCCTGCAGCACAGCCATCTGCCAGATCTTCCAGAACAGCTACTTCTACCTGTACCCCTTCAACATCGAGTACAGCCTCTTCGCTTCTACCATGCTCTATGTCATGTGGAAGAACGTGGGCAGGCTGCTGGCCTCCACCCCCGGCCATGGCCACGTGCCATCCCCGGTCAACTTCCTCCGGGAGACCTTCTTTGCTGGCCCAATCCTGGGCCTGCTGCTCTTTTTGCTGGGGCTGGCTGTCTTCATCACCTACGAGGTCCAAGTGAGCGATGAGGAGGGCCACACCGAGCAGGCCCTAGTCATCTACTACAGCTTCAACATTGCCTGTCTGGGACTCATGACCTTGGTCAGCCTGAGTGGCTCAGTCATCTACCGTTTCGACCGCCGGGCCATGGACCACCATAAGAACCCCACACGCACCCTGGACGTGGCCCTGCTGATGGGTGCTGCCCTGGGCCAGTACGCCATCTCCTACTACTCCATCGTGGCCGTGGTGGTGGGCACACCCAGGGACCTGCTAGGAGGGCTCGACCTAGCCCATGCCCTGCTCATGATTGCTCAGCACACCTTCCAGAATGTGTTCATCATCGAGAGCCTCCACCGGGGACCGCCAGGGGCTGAGCCTCATGATAATCCCCCCAAGGATCCCTGCCAAGGCCTTATCTTTGCCAACCAGGACGCCCTCCACTCCTTGCCCGCCTGTCCACCCAGCCCCAGGCTGGCAGGCCCCAGCTCAGCAGGCCCTCAGGAAGCAGTGGCCATCATCTTGGCCCCCAGGGGCCACTGGAGACGCCGGTGCCTAAAAGACATTTCTCTGTTTCTCCTGTTCTGCAATGTCATCGTGAGTAGCCGGGGAGAGATGGGAGTGGGCCAGGCGGAAGGGAGGCGAGGAAGGATGCTCTTGTAGGTTCACTCACTTAGCCTTGTCTGCCTTGCCCAAGCCCACCTGAGAATCTTACAACTCTCTAGGAAAGGACAAGATTAGACAGGGCCAGCTGCAGCCCTTGGGCCAACGGCAATCTCAGGGCACATGAAGGGAATGAAGTCCCAGTGTTCTAGCATCTAGGCAGCGGATGGAGCTGGAGGGGTCCCAGGCAATGCTGACATGGGGGCTGGGCGGAGGTGAGGGGGAGCTGAGAGCTGATGCGGCAGGCAGGGTCCCTCACCTCCAGGTGGGAGGTGTGACTGCTCCTGGGAACTTGTGACCTGCCTGCCTCTCAGAATAATTGGAGCAGCATCAGGAAGTAGCAGAGATCAGCGTGCATGCGAGGGGTCTGTTAGCAGCATGCAGTGGCGCACCAGCCGCGAAGGGGGCACATACAGCAGCTGCCCACTCCCCCTCAATTTAGCAAAGCCAACTATTTAGGGCAACAACTTCAGCCAATACAAACACACTCCCCGTGCAAAAACCCTAGGGCAGACACACTCAGAATGAACGTGCACCCCAACAGAGAAACATTCCTAGTGTAGCTACAACCCAGCACAGAAATGCCCAGTAGGGGATTATTCTTATCTCTGATATAGAAATATGTACCCATGTGGGTGCATTCCAAGTAGAAAAAATACCTCTAATGAAGTTTTGCTCAATATAAAAACAGTCCATTTATCTCTAAGCTCCATTAGAAAATACTCCTAATATAGAAACATACTTACTGTGACTATATCCCAATACAGAACATCCCCAGAGTGAATTCTACCCCATGAAATACATGAAATGCACCAACAGCCCTGAGATATATTCTTAGTCCCACCATGAATGTCACCCATCCTACAGGTCACCTCCATGCACTCACGGTCCCCATAGATGTGCAGGACCCCATGCAGGGGCCTTCCAACAGAGTCAATTTCACTTTTTTTAAAAAAGCGTGCTCATCCATCTCTAACCCTACCAGAAGAAGCAATAAGGCTCAAAACCTCATTCTGTCTTGGGCCAGCTTTGGCATCCAGCCCCTGCTCTGGCCCCACCTCCCCTTCCACCCAGGCCTGGCTTATAGCCTGGGAGCTGCCTTCTGGGGGGCCGTTCTTGTTGAAGGAACCTGAATCACCTCCAACAGCATCATTGTCATTCTCCTTCATTTTATAGGACAGAAACAGACTCAGAGGCAGGCTGTGATGTGCCCAAGGACACAGTGAATTTGTGGGGGAGGCGGGGGCACCTAGAAGCCGTTGTTCTTTGCTTCATATCCACACCCGAACCAGCTGAGCTCATAGCCACGGGAGCAGCACAATTGCAGCTTCAACCTCCTCCCCGACCAGGGGAGGGGGCAGGAGGTTGGAGGAGATTAGAGAGCCGGGCTCATGGAGGGCTGGGGTGGGGTGGCTTTCTGGATGGACCCTGAACTCCCTGCTGTGGGCCTGTCTTCTGCCAACACCACCCCCGTGCACACAACTGTCTAGGAGAGAGCTGCCGATTTAGCTGTATGTCTTCATCTATTGAAACCTCTTCTCCCCTCCCCGTATCCCACATTTAGGCCCTGCTAAGGTTTTGGGAGAGGTGGACCCCTAGCCTGGGGATGGCAAGTTCAGTTGGGCACACTTCCTGGGTCCCTTAGAGAGTTCCAGGCCCTGTCTAAGACACCGGAGGTGCCCACTCACTGACACCCAGCCCTCACTGTGTACCAAGCTAGAAGGATGGGCAACCCATCCAGTCGCAGCCCAGCAAAGCCCACAGAAATGACCCACAGGCACAAGTCTGGGCCAGCTCCTGACACGCCCCTCTCTCCACACAGCTGTGGATCCTGCCTGCCTTCGGTGCCCGCCCTCACTTCAGCAGCACGGTGGAGGTGGAATTCTACGGCTATTCCCTCTGGGCAGCCATCGTCAACGTCTGCTTGCCTTTCGGCATCTTCTACCGCATGCACGCTGTCTCCAGCCTGCTGGAGGTCTATGTGCTGTCCTGAAGCCTCTCACAGAGACATGGGGGCAGGAAGAAGGGGGTCAGCTTGTGTGTCCCCTCAGAGCCCCCTCTAAGAATGAACCTGAGCTGGTGCCACATCGCCACCCATTTCCTGCTGGCCCCATAGTGGAATTTTTGCCAAAGTTATTTTTCCAAGATGCATTTTTAAATCACAATTAGGACATGCCCTGGCACCCCAGCATGACCCATGACCCAGGACGGGAGGGGCCCAGTGGAAGGAGCCCTCTCCCAGCAGTCTAGGACCAGGCGAGATCTGGAAGTGCTGGCTCTGGCTCCATCCCTAATCCCAGCCCTGGGGCCTGGCCAGGGCACTGCCTGGAGCTAGGAACCAATAAACTTGTGATTTGCCCCTGTCCCCCACTTCTTGTCTCAGTCACCCCATCTGAGATGGTCACAGGAGGGGATCTTGGGGGTCAGAGCTGGAAGGGCCCTTAGAAATTTTCAGCTCTCAAACTTTTCAGTGGGTAAGCCAAATAGAGTTACAGACCCGAGAAACAGTGGCAGGGAGCGGCTGGATGGAGTTCCCAGGCTGCCACCTTTCTCTTCCCCTTTCCTCCGGGTGACATTCACATATAGTCACATTTTTTATGTGTTCCATGACATGAAAAAGGTTAGGAAGCACTGATTAGTCTAATGTTCACATTTCACAAAGAAGGAAACTGAGGCCCAGAGAGGTAAAGCAACTTGCCCAAAGTCACACAGCTACAGAAAACCAGAGCCTTTCTACTAAGAACAATAATTTTCAAACTTTGTTTTTAAGCAGCAGAACTTTTTTTCCCCTCAAATAAAACATTATAGGAACCCAAGTTTATAACATAGGTATAAACAGGGTGGTTCTAGTTTAAGAGGAGTTGAGGGGCTCAGATCCTCACTGCCTGGGCTTCCCTTTACTCCCCTCCTTTCTGGGGGTTCCTGAAGAGCTTCTCCAAAGCCCTAGGGCTTCTACTGTACCAGAGCATAGAGATGGACTCGGCAGGGAGGGAGACAGCCAAGGTTAGATGGGTCAGAACCATTGAGAAGGGGCTCCGCAGCCAGAAGGGGAGGAATTGGTGGCCAGCCAGAGCCGGGGGACATGAGGAAGCGCTGGGGCAGGACCAAGGTGGGAGCAGATGGCATTTGGGGGGAAAGCGTGGGAACAGTAGCACCCAGAGCTAGGAGGAGGAGACTTCAGAGGAAAGCGTGCCTGGACCCCGTCAGCAGAATGAGGTGAGGAGGTCTGAGAGGCGGCAGGGAGAGGAGAGGAGGGCTGAGGGGGCTGCCTCCCCGCAACCCCTCCCGCCCTGTAAGAATGGGGCTCTGCCCGGTCTCTTTCGCCCCAAGTCCAGGTTTGACTTAAGGGAGACAGAGGGTCCTTCGCGGCATCCAGGCCTGGTGCTAGGTAGGGTCCAGGGAAAAGCGACCCCAGGCCCCAAGTGGGGGGATGGGGCAGTTCCATTCCCAGCTTGGCACCAGAGGAAAGCGAGGGCTGAACCTCGCAAGACCTTTACTGCGGGCCTAAGGACACTGCACCCCACTCAACCCAACCCCGAAAGTCAGCAGCCCTCCTGCCCCCGACCCTGTGCCCGCGCGCCCCGCCTCCCGCCCCGCCCACGCGTCCAGCAGCCTCGCTATTGGCTGCACCGTCTGGGCCCGAGCCCCTGGCGGGGTAATTAAGGAGGGATTAATGAGATTTCCAAAGTCAACAGAAAAATCGATGGGCCACGGAGCCCGAGCGGCGGCTGCGCAGTCCCGCGGGGGGCGGGGGCGGGGAGGGCGTCAGGGGCATCGGTCGGGGCGCGGGAGCCTCACCTGGAGGGACGATCGGCGCTGCGCCAGCAGTCTGTGGTCAGCCGGCCGCGATGCCTGCCCAGGCCTCAGGTAAGGCTCCCGGCGCCCCGGCTAGGCCCGGGAGCGCCCTCGGACCGCTGGCGAACATTCCCGGCTAGCCCATCCCCGGCGCTCACACATACTCCGCCCCCTAAAAGCGGGGTTCAGGAGCAAGGGGCGGCAGGGCTTGGGGCGGGAGGGCGGGTGACTGGAGAGAGGTCAACTCCTTTCGACACGAGGCTGGCCTCTCTCTCCCCTCCACCCTAAGCCCGGCTCTGGGCCCGACCTCCTTTCCCCGGACGCGGGGCGCACGAGGGAAGCAGGGCGCACCACGCCCCGGGCTGAGTCCACACAGCGGAAAGGGGGCCCCGAGGCCAGGACGAAGTGAGAAATCAGATGGCTGGTTTTCAAAGGGTGTAGGGTTGGCTAGGGCTGCCTGGACGCCTGGTCTGGGGCACGTACTTGCGGCTGGCCCGGCCCTGCAGTCCCGAGGATGGCTCGGAAGGAAATCCCCGAGCTGCCCCGGCCGCGCTCTGCAGCCTCTTCGGGAGCTGGCCCTCGGTACCTGGCCAGGCGCCCCGCCCGACGGCTCCCGGCTCCGTGGCTTTCATCACCCGCCTCTGACTGCGACCACAAACCAGTTTGGTGTCCGGACCCTCCCTTGGACTGGCGTCGCGCCGAGGGGCGTGCCAGGGGGCGGTGGACTCCTCCTCGTCAGTTCCAGACACCCTCACACCAGCCCTCTTCCCGCGACCTCTACGTGCCCACTCCTGCGCCCTGCACAGCCATGGACCAAATTCACTCCTTTGACAGCTCCCTCCGGGGGCCATTGGAGGGTTGGTCCCCAGGACCGGGTGGGGGGCGGGGGCAACTGTAGGGGCCACTGTCAGGTCGAGGACCAGGGAGGAAGAGGACCTGGAATCTTGTCCCCTAGTGTCCTCTCTGGGCCTACAAAAACAGCCCCTGAAATTCACCAATAATCCCAACCCTTCCCACCTCTCCAGGACCTGGAAATAACTGGAAGGAAATGCACAAATAGCTAACACTGAGAGCTTTCTGTGTCGCAGGCACCTCTCTACATGTGCTTGCATGTACTAAATCATGTTTTAAATCATTTGATTTTGCCAAAACCCCTATGAGGTAGGTATTATGCATTAATTCCTCCGTTATTTGTTCAAGGAATCGTTGTTGAGCATCTGCTCTGCATCAGGTACTATTCCACAGTCGTCTGTTCGTTGTACAGAGGACAACACGAGGCACAGAAAGTCTGAGGAGCTTGTCCCAGATCCCAGAGGGAGCGAGTGGTAGAAGCTGGGCTCTTCAGCGTTAGGCGATCCTGCTGGAAGGCTGGGGGTGCACAACAGGTTCCAGCGAAGACGAGCTGGAGCAGTCAGGGTTGGGAGAAACAGAGCAGGGAGGCACCCCCGTGAGCCTCAGCCTTGCTCAACCCGGGCGGGGGAGCCTGGGAGGGGAAGATCAAGATCATCTGGAAAGTCTCCTCCAGGGGCCAGCATGAAAGGGGTTTAATGGGAAAGGTCTCTGTCCATGGCTCTGGTGCTGGAAATTCCCAGAAGCTTCCAGAGTCAGTGGGCAAACACTGGGTGAGTGTCATGCTTGTGCTAGGTTCAGGGATTCCAAGTTAAGCAAGACCCGGTCTCTCCCCTGGAGGAGCGCCGGCCTTGAGGGAAGCCAGCCACACTCAAAGCACACCAGGCAGTGCACACCCACTCTGGGCAGAGGGGAGTGGCCCCAGCAGGGCAGGCACCAGCACACTTAGGCCGAGAGGCAAGGCGTCCCAGATGGGCGCTGAGGGTGGGCAGGAACCATCGGTGGGGCCAGCGGCGGCAAGGCAGAGGGAAGAGCAGTCTCCAGGGGGCAGGAGGCTGGAGGGGCAACGTGGAGCCCTCTGCCTGGGCCTGGATGCTGCGGAGCAGGTGCCTGGAGCGTGGTGAGGGGCATGGACAGGGAGGGGGCAGAATTTGGGCAAAAATGACAGGGTGAACTGGGAAAGGGGAGAGGTCATTTGTAAAATCTTGAAAAGAGGCCCAAGTGTCAGTAGTACTCCATCTGCCCCGGAGGACAAGGTACAAACACAGCGGGTAGGTGCACTGGGAGAACGGGGGCCCAGAGAGGCTGCATTTTACAGCAAATGCGGTGAGTGTGTTCCGGTGCGTAGAGGGCCAGGGTGAAGGTCCTGGAGCTCAGGTTCTCAAGGCAGAGATGGAGCAAAGCCCAGCTCATTGAAACCGAGCATGCTTGGTGGCCTGCCAGCCATCAGCACGGGGTGTAGTGGAGTACCAGGAGGCGGCACCTCACCCAGCCTTGGCGTGGGGGATCAGGGAAGGCCACTTAGAGGAGGTGGAGTCTCTGCTGAGTCCTAAAGGACAAGCTGGAGTCGGCCAACGTGCAAGAGAGGTGTGCATTATAGGCAAAGGGGGAGGTGTGGGCACAGACGGGGACATTCTGGGAAGTGCAGCAGGATGGCACAGCACAAGGAGAGGGGAGTGGGGTCTGAGGACAATGCTGGAGAGGTACGTCAAGGCCAGACCTGGAAGCAGCAGCAGCTGCCCTGCCTTGGGCAGTGTGTGCATCAGGCCCATACTAAACATTCCCGGTCTGGTTTCATCGTGAAAGGCCCTGCGGGCTGTGCTAGGTCGTTTGGACTTTATACTGAGGGCAGGTGGCTGCCTTCGCAGGGCTCTCAGGAGGGAAGACAGAGAGGAGGGGGCCTGGACCCAGGTAGTGGTTGGGTTCAAGAAAAATCCAAGAGCAGTTCATGAGCTGGGGCCTGGGGAGAGCAAGGGGTGAGGGTAGAAGCAAAGAGCATGTGCAGCTCCCTGCTAGGAGCACTGGGGATGGAGACGCCACTCTGAGATAGTAGCTGTTGGGAAGCAGGAGGAGGACAGTGAGCACCTAGAACCCTGAGCCCAGAGCACAAGGGCAATGGCAGGACCAAGGAGGAGCCTGGGGTGGCAGGGGACCTGGCGGGAGCCTCCCCACCAGGACAGCACCCTGCTCTAAGCTGCAGCTCAGCCCACCAGGAAGGACGCATGTCCAAAGAGGTCTGAAGGGGAGAGCAAGCTGGATTCAAAGCTGCAAGCATTGGGTGGCCCAAAATCTGGCCCAAGCAAGTGGTAACAAAGTGGTTGACCTGAGTGAAAGCTCAAGGAAGGGAAGGAAGTGGCAGGAGACATCCAGGGAAAGAGGAAGGCAAGAATAGTGTCGCCCATGTTGTGCTGGGGCAAGGAGTGCAGATGGCAGTCAGCTTTGTCAAAGTCAAGGGCGTGGCAGTGGTGCTGATCACCACCTGTCCCATGCTCTTGGCAGACATTATAAATCAACCCTAGAACTTTTTCTCCAAAACTTTTAATGTGCTTTAAAATTAATTTGATTATATAAGTAATGTGCTCATTTATTAAAAAACTAGAATATTAAAGCTAAAGAAAAGTCTACCAGTCCCAGTTGTGGGCCCCTTATCCCTTCCTCAGAAGAAACTCCTCTTATGAAACTCATGGGTATCTTCTAGACCTTTCAAAAGTAGCTTATGTACCCATAATAGAGTATCGTTTCGGGTCACGCCATTCTTGCCCACCAAGCCCAGACTCAGCCTCAGGATCCTTCCCGATGAAACATTCTAGGCAGTCTTTATCCAACCAGTCAGAATCAGAATAAGAGAGGACACCTCCTTGCCCTCCCTGATTTTAGGAGTGAAATTCCTCCCAGAGGTCAACAGGGAAAAGCTGCCTTTTGGTGGTGAAAAGTCTTAACCCTGGAAACCAGCGAGGCACTACGCAGATGCCCCTGGCTTCCTTGACAGATATCATCACCCACACTGAGTCAGGAAGTGGGGTAGTCTGGCTGGGGGTAGGGTGGAGGATGCAGTCCTCGAGCCAGCAGAAATAATCCCTTATGTTTATCTGTAGCACAAAGAAGTCTGTCTGACCTCCTTGGGTCCTGTAGGGTAGATGGGGCAGCTGCTATTACTTCCAATGTCCAACCAGAGAGGCTGCATAGCTCACCCTAGGTCACACAGCAGTTAGGAGCAGGGGACTTGAACCCAGGTCAGCCTGGCAGCCAACCCAGGACTCTTCTCCATCTCTAGCTTCTGCTGAGGCTCCACCCATGCCTTCTCCAGAAGTACAGAAGGCTGAAGCAGCCCCAGACAAGGAAAGCCAAGTGGACAAGGGGACCGAGGAGACAGGGGCTGCTGCCCCGCCGCAGCAGAAGTCCTGGCTGGTGCGGCATTTCTCGCTGCTTCTGCGGCGGGACCGGCAGGCCCAGAAGGCCGGGCAGCTCTTCTCAGGGCTCCTGGCCCTCAACGTGGTGTTCCTGGGTGGGGCCTTCATCTGCAGCATGATCTTCAACAAGGTGGCCATCACGCTGGGTGACGTGTGGATCCTGCTGGCTGTGCTGAAGGTCCTCTCCCTCCTCTGGCTCCTCTACTACGCGGCCGGCACCACCCGCCGGCCACACGCGGTGCTCTATCGGGACCCTCACGCGGGGCCCATCTGGGTGCGGGGTGAGTGTCAGGGTGCTGGGTGGACAGAAAGGGGTGGGAGGGAGAGCGGGCTCCAGGGAGGTGCCAACGCCCGCCTGCCCCGCCAGGCTCCCTGGTGCTCTTCGGCAGCTGCACCGTCTGCCTCAACGCCTTCCGCGTGGGCTACGACATCAGCCACATCGACTGCAAGTCACAGCTCGAGCTTGTCTTCCCTGTCATCGAAATGGTCTTCATCAGCATCCAGGTGACAAGTATCTCCTGTCCCCTGGCCACTTGGGGACACACCCTACCTGCCCATGCTGCAGGCACACACGCCCTGCAGCCTGTACCTAGAAATGGCGGTGCAGACGAAGAACAACACGTACCACACCCTGCACGGGGGCCACCTCCCTGTGCCCACAGCCACAGGTGCCTACAGATACTGCATCATCATGCACGCCGTGGCTCTGAAATGTGGACACCTAAATCCGTCTGCCTGTACACACGTAGATGTACACCTAAGTAGACACTCCCCAGATGCACAAACCTCCTCGTAATTGTAACAACATCTAACTCTCTCTTGAGTCTCTGTTGTGCAGCGGGCATTGTGTTGGGTGCTTCATTCACGTCATCTTCTTTATTTCCCCAACAAGTAGGCATTTCCCCAAAGGGTGGGCATTTGGGCCCCTTTTCAGAGCTGAGGCAACTAAGGCTCAGAGATGTTTGGCCACTGGCTCAGTATCACACAGCAAGAGCCGGGATTCTGACCCAGTCTTCCTCCCTGTGTTCCACTGTAAACACACACAAGCACCTGAGGCCACACCAGGTCCCACAACCCCCACCAGCCCCTGGGCTCAAGGCCCCATCTCTTTCAGACCTGGGTGCTCTGGAAACACTGTAAGGACTGTGTTCAGGTCCAGACCAACTTCACTAGGTAAGGCTTCTCTCCCTCCCAAACCTTCTGGGGCTCTCTGCACCCCACCCCCAGCTTCCCTGGACAGGGTGGGCCTGGGGCTGTGGATTCCTCTGGGGTGTGCCCCAGGTGGGCCCTAGACCTGCCTCTCCCAATGTCCTAATGCTGGAATGGATCTGGCGTTGGAAGTGAGTGGTTGCCCCAGCGGCACCCGGGAGCCAGCCAAGCTGTGTGAGCAGAGTGTGGCACTTCCTCCAGGTGTGGCCTGATGCTAACCCTGGCCACAAACCTGCTGCTGTGGGTTCTGGCCGTCATCAACGACTCCATGCACCGAGAGATCGAGGCTGAGCTCAGCGACCTCATGGAAAAGTTCTCAGGTACAGAGAGGAGACCAGGACCTCCTTTCTCCCAAACACACACACGCGCTACACACCCTCACACAGGTGAGGCTCAGTGAGTCTATAGAGTTGGGACCAAGCTCTAGGGGCCAGAAACTGAAGTTTGCCAGTGGTACCCATCCTGCCCCATCGGGTGCTGGCACCCTGCACCGGCTCCAGGCACCCAGCTAGCCGGCAGCAAGCTAGCCACTGGTCCTGGCTGAGCTAGCCACTGACAAGTTTTCAAGTATGCACCCCACCCATGGTATTTGCATTTTACTTGCAAGAAACTAAAAAGCCTTCCAGGCTGAAAGGAATGTCTTGCTAATACAAATTTTAGGTACCTAGATGTATCAGGAGAGACAGAAGATTTCTGGGCAGAAAAAACTCCCAAGCTTGTCCCATTGACCCCAGCTCCTACCTTACAGTCCACCGCTTAGGGGCTGTGTCCCATACCCGACATGGGAACGTCGCTGTCCAGGGGATTCAGCCACACCTGTACGTGCACTCCCCAGGTGGCATCACCGCCATGCCCTGTAGTCAAGCCCTCTCAGCACACTCAGCACCCACACACCCACTGCATCAATCATGGCACGCCTTGGACCGTGGGCATTCTGCATGCCCTGTTACATTCCTCAGAAAAGCTGTGCAAAGAGAGAATTAAGTTTTAACAAGTGACATCATGGATTTTGTCTATACATATATATATATTTTTTTTTATGAAAAGTCACACTGTCATAAGATTTTGTCATAATAAAAAAATTCGGAGCCAGGCATGGTGGCTCACGCCTGTAATCCCAACACTTGAGGCCCACTTGAGGCTCCCAACTCGCTTGAGGCCAAGAGTTCAAGACCAGCCTGGGCAGTAGCAAGACCCTGTCTCTGCAAAAAAAAAAAAAAAAAAATTAGCTGGGTGTGGTGGTGCACACCTGTAGTCCCAGCTACTCAGGAGGCTGAGGCAGAAGGATTGCTTGAACCCAGGAGTTTGAGGTTGCTGTGAGCTATGATGATGCCACAGCACTCTAGCCTAAGCAACAGAGCGAGATCTATCTCAAAAAAAAAAAAAAAATTTAAACATTACAGATGAGCAAAAGAACAAAACACACCTACCACCTGGATGTAATAATTATTAACATTTTGCCATATTTTAATTTCTTTCCTGAGGTACTTAAATTATAGAAATCATAGCATTTTATCTCAAAACATTTCACTATGTATCTCTTTAAAACTAAATGTGTTTCCTGTCTGGGCAGGCTGACAAAGGCCCGTAATCCTAGCACTTTGGGAGGCCAAGGTGGGAGAATCATTTGAGGCCAGGTGTTCAAGATCAGCCTGAGCAGCATAGAGCAACCCTGTCTCTACAGAAAAAAACAGAAAAATTTTCTGGGCGTGGTGACGCACACCTGTAGTTCCAGCTACTGGGGAGGCTGAGGCAGGAAGATCACTTGAGCCCAGGAGTTGGAGGTTGCAGTGAGCTGTGATGACACCACTGTACTCTAGCCTGGGCAACCAAGAGAGACCCTATCTCAAAAAAAAAAAAAAAAACTGTATTTTCCTACATTACTACAATGCTATTATGATTGCTAAAAAAATTCCTTACCAACATTCCCATCCTCTACATCACTCTATATTCAACTTTCTCCAATTAGCATAAAATGTCTTTTACAGTTTGTACAAACATGGATTTGGTTAAGTCTAAGTCTGTTTTTTCCCAATGACATTGAGATTTGTCAGGCTGCCTCCTAGTGGTGGTTTTCATCTTGCTCCCCTCTTCCCTGCTTTCCCTAGAAGTTGGAATTATGGACCAAAGTCTCGATGAGATTCAGGGTAGACATTTTTGGCGCCAGCATTCCCCAGGTGCCCCTGTCCCGAGGCACAGGTGTCTGATCACCCCTGGTGCGTGCTGCTAAGCCCAGTCGCTGGGTTCCGGTGTAGCAGCCCCAGCCATTGTAAAGCTACAGGTTTTCCCTTGGGTCCAGGAAGTAATTTGTGGAGGTGACATTTGGCACCAGAGACATCACGGTTTAAATGCTTGGCACCTGAAGTCTCTAATCCCCTTGTAAAGGAACAACCATTCTGGGATTTCTGATTTCTATATCTGGGCTTCGGTTTCCACGTCTGTAAAATGAGCAGCGGGGTCCCTTTCACCTCTGGCCCATTCCAGGAGGGGGATGGGAGTGATTTGTGCAACCAGTGTCCTCAGAAGAGGGCCCACCTGAAAGTCTGCCCCCTCTGGCCCTGCCCCTCCCAGGCCAGGGGAACAACACCTGTCTGTGCCTCAACGCTACCGTGTGTGGGGTCTTCCGGAAGGGCTACCTGATGCTGTACCCCTTCAGCACCGAGTACTGCCTCATCTGCTGCACTGTGCTGTTCGTCATGTGGAAGAACGTGGGCCGCCGCCTGGCACACCACACGGGTGCCCACCCCAGCACCCCGTCCTTCCACCTGCACGGGGTCATCCTGGGGCCGCTGCTGGGCCTGCTGACGCTGGTGGCAGGCGTGTGCGTCTTCGTGCTCTTCCAGATCGAGGCGAGTGGCCCTGCCATTGCTCCCCAGTACTTCAACCTCTACTATGCCTTCTGTGTGGCCGTGCTGCCCGCCATGAGCCTGGCGTGCCTGGCGGGCACGGCCATCCACGGGCTGGAGGAGCGTGAGCTGGACACGCTCAAGAACCCCACCCGCAGCCTGGACGTGGTGCTGCTCATGGGGGCCGCGCTGGGCCAGATGGGCATCGGCTACTTCTCCATCGTGGCCATCGTGGCCACCCGCCCGCACGAGCTGCTCAACCGCCTAATCCTGGCCTACTCGCTGCTGCTCATCCTGCAGCACATCGCCCAGAACCTCTTCATCATCGAGGGCCTGCACCGGCGCCCGCTCTGGGAGGCAGCTCCTCAGAGCTCGTCCAGGAAGCAAGAGGCCGAGCCTGCCCGTAGGGGCTCCCTGCTGGAGCTGGGCCAGGGCCTACGGCGGGCCTCGCGGGCCTACATCCACTCCTACAGCCACCTCAACTGGAAGCGACGGGCGCTTAAGGAGATCTCACTCTTCCTCATCCTCTGCAACATCACAGTGAGTAGCTGGGCTGGGAGATGAGGGGTGGAGCTGGCCAGGCAACTCAGAATCCCCACTCAGGAAGGGATGGATCAAGGACACATACCTCTTTCCAACTAGCTTGATGGGGCTTGAAAGTGTTCCCCGGCTCCCTACAAGGTGCCTGGCGTGAATGAATGTGCCAAGCACATAGCTCAGTGCTCCTTACAAACGAATAGATAGGATTTCCACCCTCCGGAAGCTTACCGTCTAGGTGGGGAGACACCAGGGAACTAGTGAGAGAATTACCACTGAATTCATCATCCACGGAATTCCGTCAAAGGAAGAGCTCAGAAAGTAGCTGGTTTTCTAAGAAATCCCAAGTGGAAGATATCGGTGATGATTGCCTAGCTCCTGGTGGCTGCTGAAGTCCCAGGTTCACCTCTTTGTGCCCTGTCTCCGCACCTCATTGAATCATCACAGTAACCCCATGCAACAGGCACCATAACTAGCCCATTTGACAGATGAGAAAACTGAGCCTTAGGTTGTTGGACCTGCCCAAGGCAGTGCTGGGACAACTCAGGATTATTTGACCCAAGGTATGAAACCTCTGGTCCAGGCAGAGAATAAGTAACAACTTGGCTATAAAGTGCATCAGGGGCGCGGGGAGGGAAATGTGGGCCCAAGAGGCTGAGGAAGGCTTTGCGAAGCTTCGATCTGAGCCTTGAGGAACGGGCAGAGTTCGGACAGGAAGGTGGGAGCAGAAGCATGAAGCCTTAACTAGGTCACAGGGGAGCCCGGCTTGACTGAGCAGGTTGCACATCGGGAATTTCTGCCACTCAGCACCCTGTGGTGGCGCCCTGTGGCAGCCTGCGTTCTCACAGTCCACCTGGAGCTCAGGCCGGCCCCAGGCAAGCCGAGGAGACGGCTGAGGCTTTCTGGGTGTAGAGTGAGGAAGATATAGGAGGAGAGCAGCTCGCTCTGAAAGCCTGCCTCCCCTGGCTGGGTGCTTTGGGGTACAGGTAAGCCCCTCCCCCACTCCACACCTTCCTCTCCCCTCCAGCTGTGGATGATGCCTGCGTTTGGCATACACCCGGAGTTCGAGAATGGGCTGGAAAAGGATTTCTATGGCTACCAGACGTGGTTCGCCATCGTCAACTTTGGCCTGCCTCTGGGAGTCTTCTACCGCATGCACTCTGTGGGGGGCCTGGTGGAGGTCTACTTGGGGGCCTGAAGCTGTCCAAGAAACCTTTCCCCAGCAGAAGCCTGAAGTACCACGGCCAGGGAGAAGGGGGCCCAGAGTTTCAGAGCAGATGCCTCATTCTCAGGGGTGCAGAGCCCAGTCTGCGGTTTCCAAAGCCTCCCCCTCCCAGAGCCTCGCTGAAGGGGAGGGCACTGCCAGTAGCCCAAGACCAAGGGCAGGGACCTAGCCACGGAGCTTGTGATGTCTATGCCCAGGCCTGGGCTCATGCCCGCCCCCTGCCTTCCCTCCACAATCAGCGAGCCAAGGGTGCGCCCAGAAGGACGGCAGGGGCCCCTCACAGCTGCTCTCTGGGAGGGTCAGACCCGAATGATGGAGTCTGGGAGTTTGGAGGCCGCAGGGCTCAGCCTCCTGCTGCGGGAAGGGCACGTGGTCTGAGCGTGGCCCAGGACACCCTCGGAGCTCAGAGCTCGGAGACCAGAGCTGGCAAGCAGCCCTGCCCCTTTCCCCTCACACCCTGTCTCCTAATGAGCTCATTAATTAGCTGCCAGGCAGAGTTCAACAGCTCTCCTGCTGCATAAACCCTGTTTGTTTGATCGATGGCACTCAGGCTTCGTGGCATTTGTTCCCAGGGACAGAACTGCCGCTCCATGTGGTGGGAAAAGACAGTCCCCCTGGGCAGGGATGTGGGGCTGGCACATTCCTGGGCCAGGCGGGTCTAAACTAGTCCTTCCCTTGTCACTCTGTGGGAAGGGGTGGGAAGAGGTGGGCCAGGGCTTGTTTATCCCCCCCAACCCCGCCCCAGCACACCCTCTCGCTGGGACAGAGCCCCGGGTGACTTTCTGCAGCTGGCTCACCACAGAGCTTGTGGCCTCTGCTGCCCAGGCCTGCCCGATCCTCTGTGCCCGCGGGTGGAGCAGGGAGGGAGAGGCGGGCACTGACGGCCCATCCATCTCCCTGAGCCCAGAGCAAACAGCGGGCTGTGCCCTCCTCCTCACCCCGTCCACGGGGCGAGGCACAGGCACGCCTGGGGACCCTGCCAGGACCCCCAGCACGGTCTTGGTGGCTGCCTGGGGTGGCCCCTTGGCCTCTCCTGTCTGGGCTTTCTCTCTGTCTGGCCACGGCCCAGGGGCCCAAACCTGAGGCCACTGAGCCCAGTCCTGCTTCTCACCCCAGGAAGTGACAAGTGCCGGTTCCCAGTCATGCACTGGGGGCTCTCTGGGGACTGACCTTGAGGTGCAGAGTCCTCAGCTCCCCTGAAAATAAGAGCCATGGCCTGGCCCCCTCCCCTCCAAGCACAAAGAGACAGAGCGGGGAGAGGGGGCTTTATTGTGTAAAGAGGCCGATTGTACAGAGCAAAGATTGTACTGACACGGGTCGGGGGTGAGGGCCCCCGTGGGCAGAGCCGGGGAAGATGGTGGGGTGGCACCCCCCCGCTCAGGCAGCAGGCTGGGCAGGGAGGACTGAACAGCTGCCCCCCCAGTTCCCTTCCCTGCCCCATTACCGGGTAGAAGGGAGACCCTCAACACCCTACTCCACACCCCGAGAATACACGAGGGGCCCCAGTCTGGCTTTCGCAGTCTGCCAGCCCCCAGCCTCCTGGAGGAGCAGCCTGGCCACACTCTTCCCACGGGCCCTGGCAGGGAGCAGGCCTGGAACAGGTCACTTCAGCTTAGGAGGCTGGGAAGGACTCTCCTCGCCCTGCCAGGTACCTCAAGGGACAGCCCATGGCTCCTTGGGCAAACCCATTGGAGCACAGTGACCTGGTGGCTTCCGGGGGCAGGTGGGCACAGAGGGGTCAACACAGAAGAGACCCCTGAAAGGGCATCGGAGTGAGGGGGTCTGGCAGGGCCTATAGCCCTGGAGACAGGAGGTTCCTGTGAGTTCAGCCTGGGGGATGGGGGTCAGAGCCGGTCCTCATTGTCCCAGCCACAGGGGTCCCTGGGGCCTGCCACCCAGGACTCAGCCACTCTGCCTGATCATGGTAATTTAAAGCTCAGAACGGTGGGTCCAGGAAGCATCTGGACCCAGCCCCTTGCAGGCTTCCATCTTCACACCCGCTGAATCTCAAACAGCTTCACGTCCGTGTCGTACCAGACGGGTGGGTCCACATTCCTGCAGGTTGGGGGGAGAGTCACCCAAGTGCTGAAACACCTTTCAGGAAAGATGGCGGGGAGGAGCCAGGCAGCAGTAATGCCCCAACCAGCCCCTCCAGCCCGATGTCCCGCCCTGGGCCATGGGTGCCCACCCTCAAGCAGATATGTCTTGATGTTAACCCCACCACAGATGGTGGGACCCAGAGCTGGGGGCCTCCCAGGGCCCAGACCCACTGCCCGGGGCCCACCTCAGATAGATGACGCCCCACATGTATGTGCGGAACCACATGGCGGTGCCCGAGTTGGCCTGGTACTTGCGGATGAGGATGGGGTGGGGCACGGGCAGCAGTCCCACCAGGGTGCCATGCTGCAGGAACCTCAGGATCTCCGACTCATCCGTCAGGCCCCTGCGGGCAGAGGTGGGGCTCACCAGCATGCTCCCCTGGTCTAGGAGGGCATGCGGCTCCCCCTGAGACACACGCCTCCCAAGCCTGGGCTGGCCCCGCCGCCCAGCGCCAGACTCACTTGTCGATGCAGATCTTCTCCACTTGGGGAACCAGCACCTGCAGCAGCCTCATGATGGTCTGCAGCGGCAGCTTCGACTTCCAGGAGAGGACCTGGGGAGGGACCGAGGTTGCAGGGGCTGTGGGACAGGCCTGCCCCTGACCCAGAACCACGGGCGCCCCAAGGCAGAAAGCTTCCCTGCTCCCCACAGCAGGGCCCGTGAGCGGTAACTGCTGTTCGTGGTGGGGGCGGTGGCCCCCAGTAAGCACCTTCTACAGGCCAGACACCGTGCCACGTGCCTTTCGGAAAACTGTCCCCTTAGCCCCCACAACAGCACTGGGCAGAGACAGGCATCATTTCTGTCCAGGACAATCAGTGGTGATCTCAGGACACACACAGGGAGTGGGGACATGATTCAGGGGAAGAAGTCAGAAAGGAAGATTTATTAAGGAAGTGAGCACTGTGGGCGACCAGAGCTCAGTCCTACTGGGGAACTCTGGCAGGCAGTGTAGACAGAGGACCCAACTGATCCAGAAAGAGGCCAAGCACATGGGAAGGTCACCCAGCCAGAACGACTGACCCCCAGCCCAGCTCCCAGGGACGCATTCCCATCCGAGTCTTTACCGAGCTGTTCTAGGCCGGGCGGCCCCTGACCCAGCCCCACCTCGGTACCGTCTTCCCGAACCCCAAGCCCCGGCTCCTCCAGCGTGGGGCCTCACCCACTCCGACGTCGGGCTCCACTGTCCGCTGGCTGACGCGCTGGACAGTCGCCGCTGCTCCCTCCACGCCTGGCTGGGCTCCTGGTCCCCAGAAAGGAACGGGGGTGAGGGATGCAGGGAGAGGGCCCAGGATGGGGGCGGAGGGCAATGAGGTCTCCCCACTGACTGCTGGGGGGGTTGCTCCTGACAGAAGGGAGCCCAGCCCATCACCCTTTGCCCTGGACCCCAGGCCCAGCCCAGCTCAGTGACAGGTTTAGGGCTGGGGCGACAGGGCAGGCGGGGTAAAGGCCAGCTCAGATAAGGCTGACGGATGAGGAACCTGCAGGTCAAGGGCTTCACCGTGACCAATAAACAAGGGAGGGGTCTGTGAAAGGCCCCCCAAACCCTCCCTGACAGTCAGCACTGCCAACTCTGATGCCCAGGGCGCTGGGTGCCTGCCCCTCTGTTGCAGGTGACCCCAGAGTGCCCTGGCCCAGCCCACACCACAGAGGAAGGGAGGAAGGGAACGCCCAGCCTCACCCCATTCCAGGAGTCCCTGTCACCCACCCCCTTGGCTGGGCTGCCATCTGCTGAGCTCTGCTGGGGCTCAGGCTCCAAGGACCGCAAGGTGCCATCCTCTGACACCTGGGACTTCTCTGTCAGCTTGTCAATGCCTGGGTGGGCACAGGTGGGAGTGAGGACCCCTGCCACAGTCATGAGACCCGCATCTCCCCTCCCCACTTTAGAGATGCCGTGTTGTGTCTGACCCCCTGACCCCCACCTGTGCCCACTCCTCCCAGAGCCCACACCCAGCCCCAAGGCCCCATCCCCCCACAAGCTACCCTTCCTGGGCCCACCCAGCACCTCCACCCCACCCGTGCTGCCCATCCCCATCCCCACAGCTTCCCAACGCAGGCCACACCCTTTGCCAGAGATGGGGGTGACACCCCAGAGACTGTGTCCAGCCCCCAACCCCTCCCACCCACCAGTGCCAGACCTGGGGTGGCCACCAGGCTGGTCTTGAGGGTGCCAGGCTCTGCAGGGGCAGCGGGGTGGGAGCCCTCCATGGAGGCGCCCTCCTGCGAGCCGGTGCGGGACAAGGGCTCAGGCGTCCGCCGGCGCCGCTGCAGGGCCTTGTGGATGGCGGGCGGGTCGGTGGGCAGGTTGGCCAGCTGGTGGAAGACGCTGCGCTTTCGGATGATGGCGTAGACCAGGTTGGAGTTGCCTGTGGGGAGGGAGCATGCCTGACCTCAAGGAGGTCCCTCGCCTCCCCACCCCCACCGCACCCCTGCCAATCTGGGTGGGCTCCCTGGGGGAAGGGTTGGAGGACAGGAGGGTGTCTTCCCCAGGGGTAGATGGTACAGAGAGCCCAATGGATGTGCCAGGGCAGGGCTGGGCGGCAGTGTGTGCCAGCCATGGCCACCCCAGGATGTTACATTGCGGGAAAACAGCGTCTGGCCTGAGCTCCCCACAACAGCCCCTCCTGGGACCTCCAAGACCCCTCACAACCCAGCACTCAACGGACACCTCCCAGCAAAGAGGGCCGGGCCCCAGAGCGGCCTGATGTGTCCAGTCCAAGCCAGCTGTGAAATATTTTGACTCTCCCTGAGCCAGGTGACCAAGGAGGCCTCCGGGAGGACCACAGGGTGAGTGCCCGACCCCCAGCCCTCCCGAAGCCCAGCTCTCAGGGGGAGACGCAAATGCCTCCCAGGGCCTTCAGGGCCCCCATCCACCCCTCCGATCCTGCCTCACCCCACACTCTTCTGCTCTCAGCCCAACACCCCCAGGGCCTCCCCACGTGTTGTCCACCCCGACCCCTCCGTGATGCTTTCCTACCCGCCTTACCCCCGTTCAGCCCTCAGAGATCAGCGCAAATTTTGCTTAGTGTGGAAACAGCAATAATAATAATTGCTAATATTTAAACTGCCAGGCACTGTGCTTTTTGTGGGTTATTTTACTTAATCTTCCCACATTCCCTGAGGCAGGGACTCTTAGTACTATTGTGAGGGCCATTTCACAGACGAGAAAACTGAGGCTCAGAGAGGTTAGGTAACATCCCCGCAGTCACAGAGCTGATGAGCGGCAGGGCCTGAATTTACACCAGGCAGCCAGGCATCTGTGACACTGGGCAGGATGGCTGCTGAGACACCCGTCAGGTGTCTGAACTTCCCTTTTATCAGATTTAAGATGATCTGACTGGGGGATCACCGGTTTGAAGCCTCCCTCCTGCCTCTGTCCCTAGCTGTGAACTCCATGAGGCAGGAAGCACACCTTTGTTCCCCACTGTATCCCCTGCACCCAAGTA